GGGGGGGGGGGGGGGAGTACTACCCCAGTCCATTTGCTAATGAGAGAGCCACCAGGCAAAGTGGCGCACTAGGATGGTAAGCAATGTTAAAATCTGTGTTTTAGTGTGATATTGTGCTTTTGGCTTAATAAGTAGGATCAAAGGGCAAATTACAACCGAGTTGTTGTCTTGTTTTTGGTCATTAACTAAAAATATAAATGCAGTTACAGAGTAGGACAGACACGCAATCCCACACACACATTAACAAGCATGTTAGAAATACTAATACAGAGGCTTTCAATAATATACATAAATCGAACTAGAGACTAGACAATAATTAACAGTACTTTTCAGGACAGCAGCCGTCTCCAGAAGCGCCATGGAATGTGCCCCAATGTATTTTAGAGTAAATTAGATTTTAAATGCCATTAAAAAAATTATTTATATCTTTTGAAAATGTAGTTGCAATTTTATATATACCATTTTTTTATATACACCATACCTTTCAAATGTTTTGGGTCAGTAAGTTTTTTTTTTTTACAGTAAAATATTACAATCTTTAAAAACTGTTTTCTGTTTTAATTTAATTTATTTTGTAAATTGTTAATGTAAAATGTAATTTATTCCTTTGATGACAACGCTAAATTTTCAGCAGCCATCAGTCCAGTCTTCAGTGTCACATGATCCTTCAGAAATCATTCTAATATGCTGATTTGCTGCTCAAGAAACATTTTATAATATTATCAGTGTTGAAAACAGTAGTGCTACTTAATAATTTCGTAGAAACATTTTTTTCAAGCTTCTTTGGTGATTAAAAAGTTAAATAGAACAGCATTGATTTTATATATCTTTTTCTACTGTAAAATAATGTAAAATACTTTACTGTCACTTTTAATCAATTTAATGCATATTTACTAAATAAAAGTATTGTTTTGTATTGATGTAATGTCTTATTTTGTGTAGGGCAAATGATCTTGGACTGCCATTGTTGCCCCCTCAAAAAAAAAAAAAAAAAAGCTTTGGCTGTTTCCCCCTTTACCAGCGCAGGGTATGTTTTTTAATCTTTCTTTGTAATATTATTATTATTATTTTATTTTATTTTATTTTATTTATTTTTGTAGGGCTGTACCTGCTATAATAGGCTGGCTTGCATACTGGCTGTAGCTGGGTACATGATGGGCATAGGCACCGTAGCAGGGGGTGGAGGCATCTACTGACACGCTGGGCTGGAGGGGCAACAGTTCCGCTAGGCCCGAGATTGCCAGTGTGGAAGGGGTGAAAGGAGCCATGGAAGCCTCATGCGGCTCCTGCTTAACGCACACGGAGGATGAATGTGACTCTGCCAGGTGGAGAAAAACAACAAAAAAGCCACACACACACACAATCAGACAATGAAAAAAACAAAAAAAAACAAAACAAAGATGAATCATGACAGATGGAAGTACTGAATGGAAGCAGTAAAAGAAAAAGGAAAATGAAGTTTGGCTGACAGTGTTTGGTGTTGTTGTGGTGCTACATTGCGTTTAGTAGGAAAAGAAGGATTTATGTGAAGTTACAACTGCCGTGGTGTTCTGACTCAGTTGCTCGAGTGTGTTCAGAAGTTTTAACAGAGCCTCCAGAGGCACACGCTCAGAAAACAACATTTCAACACGCACGAGGGGATTTGGTCATGAAAAGCCAGGAAATGTTACTGTGCACTTTGAGCTATGTGAGGGTTTTATGTGCGAAAACTGATCCACAAATCATTACATCAAAGATACTGTGCTGGCTAGATTTTTTTATTATAAACATGTATTTTGCAATATTTTGGTAAAACTATGTATATTTATTTTTCTTTCTATGACAAAAGAATAATGTATTTCTGTTTTTAAGTATATTTACAGCTGACAGTGAAAGCATTAGTCACAGCAACTCTCAGGGAAGCGTCATCTCACACAAAAACATGAATGTGATTTATTTTTTGTGGCTTGGTGCCAGGAATATATCTCTACAAATTTAGAAGTTTCAACATAAATTAAATAGTTATATATTCAACATAAATTAAATTGTATGTTTTAGTATTTATGTGCAATAGTCACTGATTTTATATTCAGTAGATTTGATTCACTCACATTGTAATATCGCAGTTTTCTGTACTTTGCAATTTCATAAATGCATTACTTTTTGGAAAGTTACAGCCCAGCTATATTTTACTTGCATTTTACCCACTTGGCAAGTGTTTATTTTGAGCCCTGCTCACTCACTTACAAAGAGAACAGATTAAAAGTGATTTTTTTTTTCTTGTGAACAGATCAGATAAATCTTTTTGGGTTCATTGTTTTGTTTTTTGTTTGTTTTTCTATCCAGTTTTTCTCAGAATGGAATATTATTTGCTCCATAAAGACTTTCACAGTCGTCTTTTAACTTTAGATTTATATCTAAATCTAAATAAAGCTACATTTTTATAAAAACCCTTGAAATGATTTATCCATCAAATGAGCTAAAAATGAGCAAATATAAACAGGTAAATCACTTTGAAACAATATTTCTACAATAGCATTAGCAAACAGCAGCTTGGCTGGCAGATCAATCAAGCTCAAATACAGAGAAATTTCCCTAAGGTTTGGAGATAAGAGTTGCATTGCCAAACAAAAAGCCTGCAAACTGCGACACACAGCCCCTTTGCATCGCCAGTCGTAATATAATTTGGCTGATGAGGTTTGGCATTTTTCATCTTAGCGGGTTTGCCACTGCAGCTCGAGCAATCAATGTGAGCTCTGTCTTCATCTCTCTCTCCACTCATCCTCTTTAACATCCTCTGCTGTTAACATGGTCTGTGGGGAGGGCTCTCACAGCTTCATGATAGCCTCATTAGCTGTTTCCCAACTATTGTTGTTTTACAACCGAGCTATGTGCGGAGAGTCGCTCATTAAGATAAGGCCTCCTTGTTGTCAGACGCAATCCTGACAACCCGTTCTGACCTAACGCCAAGAAATCAGGCAACTTAACTGGCTTCTTTCCCACACAAATCAATGCCAGAATTTCCTTTCCTGAGCAAGTCTGGGACTAACAGCCGAATCTTCATACAGCAGGAGCAGGATAAACATGGTGATTTTTAATTAAGAGAGACATACAGAAACAAGGCGGTTAGATGACTATATTAAAGAGAAGAAGATGACGGCAATAAAGCCTAACTTCAAAAATAAAAAACCTTAGAGGCCAATAAAGGAGAAAAGGAAAAAGAGGCTGTCGGAGGCCTCGCGTTTTCACGGCCTCTGCTTTGCCGCTGTAAAGCAGACAAGGGCGTCCACTACACTGACCGAAGCTCAGTGTTCAAGATCACTGAACTCTGAAACTAATCAGAGGTGGTGTTGCTTATTGTCCTGGAAACAAGCAAGACCTGCAAAAAGGAAGGCTGTCAACCTCCTGATTACCGAGATGGAAGATAAACACTGGTCTATGTGGAGGCGCATCACATCTCAACACGAACCAGAGGTATAGAGTTCTCCATGTCTGTCCCTCGCTTTCATGAATGCACGGTTTCACATGGGAGCAGAGAGAGAGAGAGAGAGAGAGAGAGAGAGAGGAATGACTTCCTTTTTTTTTAAAAACCCAACCGCTCCAGCAAGGTCGCTTGCCTTAGAGATAAAAAAAAATACTTAATAATAATAATAATCACAGACACTTTGACCTCAATTCTCAACATTTTGTCACAGGAAAAATGGAATAGACTGCTTCAGCCTAATCAATTACAGCAATGTAATGTTTGGACGGCCAAATTGCTTGAATCCCCAATATAAGTTCCTAAAGTCATTCATTATCAAATGTGTGCTCAAAGGTTAGTGTGCTATTGTGAGTGTGAAATAAACATTCATTTGGGCTATAGGGCCTGCCGGGGCTTCTGGTGACTCAAGACAGAAGCAGTTTGTCACTGGGCCACACATCAGATACCTCAGTCTAGCCGGCAGCGTGTTGTTTGCTGCTCACTGGAGAATAGCGGGCCACACTTAAAAAATGGCTCTCTGACGGATATATTTCAGCCGGAGATCAACAGCAGCATAAGCCAACACAAAGCAGTCTTTTATTTCACTCTGCCTGCATATGCTGCTTTTCTTTCTTACTTTTCTTGCTTGTTTTTTTTCTTGTTTTTTTCAGACATGGAGCTCTGTTGCTTTCAGGCCCGGGTGCTCATTTCTTCCTCCCTCTCCCCCCTTATCCTCTCCTCCCATCTCTCCGAAGAGATTTGGAACAAGGGGGATCCCTTCAGCACCTGCTCAGGTTTTCAGCGGATCGGAGGGGTGCCTATTTACACGGTACCATCCTACTGGCACCAGGAAGACTTCCATTATATGGCTCGGCAGGGACAGCGCTTAAGAATCCGCACTAGTCATTCATTGTGAAGGTATGTGCAAACGGCCTTTTTAAAAGGCTAGCCATATCTGGACAGCATCCAGACTTTTTACTGCAGTTTGAATAATTTGTGCCACTGTTTTTTCCCTCTACTACAGTTAATACATGAAAGTGTGGAATGTGCATGACGCATAAGGGCAAGTATTGCCTCTGATAAGTCTGAAGGCCTTTAAAACAACAGAAGCATAGATTAATCCTACACCGACTCTATTAACTGTACTTTCTGGGATTTTACATTATTTATTTATCTAAAAAATATCATTCATATTTTAAAGTATGCATCTATTCCATTATTTAAAGGAATGTACTTTACTGCAAGTTTTTTTATTTATTAATTAATTAGATTTCATCCGGCATCATAAATTTTGGTTCAATAGACAAGCTATTTTCAAATGCATTTTCCTTTAGGACTTTAGGTACAGAGCAGTAACCCCTAAAACTAATTGGGTAAACAGTTAACTCAAAAAACACGTCTCCTATGCCTTGTAGTGCCCTTAAAATTCCAATTTCTGTTTTGTAATGAAGAGTTCATTAATCATTCATCTTTAATAGATTATGCAAATCGCAAGACATAAAATCAACAAGATCAATGGCAGCGTGAATTTTAATTGGCTCAGGAAAACATTGCTGGGAATGAGCATAATCTCCAGCTCTCTCCAATGAGAGGGAGTAATTTATTCAGAATTGGCTCTCAGTGTAAATGCGTAGGGTAATTTAGCACTTTAACTCTGTCACCTTATTCTTATTTCCAGTTTATCACATGCAAGTACATCATAACATTACGCTATTGCATCTTTGAACTGCTTTCTTTGCTTTTTTTTAATTTTTATAAATGATGTTTTTACTGCCAAAAGTAATTTAGAATACGACATGGAACAGTTAATATATAAGACTATAAAGAATGTCATTTGAGCATCGACATTCTGAAAAAACTTGAGAACGTAATTACAACTGTATTTTATTTATTTTATTTATTTATTTTTATTTAGGTTGCCAGGGGAAAGTATTCTCATCATGCATGCATAAACCAACACCATTGTGAAATTATTAACAACAATAAAAACTTAAACAACCATTTGGAAATCTCTACCAGAAGCAAGAGGTGGTCTGCACTAAGACCTCCGGTGTGTCCCGTCCCAGGTGCAAGAAAGGCCACCTGCCATGAGGGTGCTCCCTAGACCGAGACTGCTTTCATACAAAGGACAAAAACACACCTTTCTTCTCCAGAGGCCCAACTTTCTGGAGGGAACTCTACCTCCCACATATTACCGAGGGGGGAAAAAAGCCCTTTCTTTTCACATAACATTATCCAGCTATCATTTGAGAAGGGGGCACAGCAATTTTCAATCATCCTGTCCTCCGCCCACACAGAACTCATTGGCTTTGATGGCTCCTGCATAATTATGTGAATTTTATTAAAAGCTCAGCGTATTAATCTCAGCACGACAGTTGGCTATCAGTAAACTTAACCTTCTCTGAGGTAATAACAGCCGCAACAATGAAACAATATTTCAATTAGCCAGGCTGACATTAACCACCGCATACCACGAGGAAAAAAACCCAAAAAAACACTGCAACATTAAAAGGCCAAACCGTGCTAAGCCGCCATATTTCTTTCTGAGAGCTTTGAGCTGAAGAAAACATTTCGGTACTACTTCGGTGGTGAAGTAGTAAAACAATTCATCAGTTTTTGAACAGTGACACTGGCCAACAATTCTCCATAATCACTTTGAATGCTGGCTCTTGCAAGTAACAGCGCCTGTCTGTTTTGACCGTTCCTCTCTTACACGGCCCCTCAGAGCAGGCAGCACTA